CCCCCCCCCCACCCCTTCATCACTTGCCTGTACCGTGCTGTTAGCACTCGTTTGTTCTTTGATTGTGATAGGAGTGGCGTGTATCATATATGCCACTCTAATCTACTTGTAAATAATCCTGCATCTTTAATAGCCCCTTCCATTCCTATACAGAGGCATTGCGTCCTGGCTTAGTACTTTGAACTATTTGCCGATTACATTTAAGCCCTCTCGCAGCAAAAACATCGTCTACTCATCATATGCTTGTCCATACTTGAGCTAACCGGACGTCAATGATACGGATATTACTGATTCCACTACAGGCTACATGTTTAGTCTCGCAATACAGACGTGGCAGTATATGCCTTGGGAGTATATAATGCATCGTCTGAGTTAGTCGGTCTTCAATCATTTCTCAAGGTCAGTTACTTTAATCTCCTTCCTCTAGTTAAAGGGGCGTGTCTATCAAAAGGAGCCAGTAACCAAACAAAGCTTCATTAATCGTTCGTCAATGGAGTTTCGCTTTTGGTGGAAGTCTCTTATTCCCCTAATTAACAAACTTGCGTGGAGACTTGTGCGTTAGGTGTCTTTTTTAGATGGTGAAGTAGTTTACTATTGTCGAGTCAGGAGAATAGAATTTGTCTAATTTGACGTTTTTCTTCATCCTACAACCAGGTGGAGGGGATATAAGCTTATACTGAGAAAGTTGTTTTTTCGGAAGAAGACGGTGACAAGTAGAAGAAAATAGGTGGAATGGGGATTGATTGAAAGATCGATATTCAGTCCGCAAGTTGGGAGGTGGGGTTATATGATTATTGAAAGGTGATAAAGCGGTCCTTCGGGAAATAGCCCGCGTTCTAATAAACGTTAATTCCTCTGTTGTTTACAGGCCTTTGATATATCTCCATAGGCGAATTTTCCCATTAAGAATTAAATCGACTAGGAAGATGGCATCATTTTTCTTTCCAATTCAAACTGCATCTGGAAAAATGGCGTAGGAGCGAAGATATGGAAGGGCATAAATTTTAGATATTATTATTATAGTACATACATAAAGCTTTTCTCCTGATAAGTTTTATTCGGTGCCTAGGGCTTGCATCAAGTTAATAACTCGTTTGAGGGAGCTCGAATCGTGTTGTATAGACCCATAATAAAACCAGTACATGAAAAGTCGTACTTTATGTTTTGCTTTTCATAACTTTCCAATTTTCCAAATGTGTAATTGGGCTTTTGACGAGTTCTCATTCTCCACATTCTGAGATTGTTGGCGCTTTATTTTAGTGGTTGATCACGATATTCCGTTTCACTTGAATCCTATTTTTAGCCAAGAGCATGCGAGAAACTCCTGTAAAGATGCTCTCAATTCAATTCGCTTCTTCTTTGTCCTTGACACTGAATTCAGACCAGCAGTAGTAAGACATGCATCTTGTTATAAAATACTTTAAACCTTTGGCAGGAATGTTGTTCAGGGGACTCTCTCTCTCTCTCCCCAAGTATCTCATTTTAATAATCCATCTTTTAATTCAGATGGTAACTATTTTGCGAGGATTTTGACCTAATGTCGGACAATTTTAAGTCTTTTATTGAGAGTTCACGTATCCACCGAAATACGTTGGCTTCCATCATTTGGAGTTCTCCATAAGCAACAAGACAAATGTCATGTCTAAATATGCTGATAAAGGAGAAGGGGATTTCATTCGAACCCCTCATTTTAATTATTCATATCTTAATGAAATTCAGTTGCTAGCACTTGAGAACAGGTATTAACCATTCTTTAAGTGTGATTTCTATTCAAACATTCGCCCATTATTGGGACTTCGAACAAACAATGGTATTTTGCTGTTAACTTTTTTCCTTTGCATTCTGTCATGCTTGTGCCATATCCTGCTGATCTCTTCATAAGCATTAAATTAGCTCTTGGAATGTGTACTAGATGGTAAATTAGCTTTGTCTGACTATTTCATTTCCTCAACTTTGCACATTTGCGATGGCCAAGAGGTGTTTGGGCGCTTCGTCAGTGTCCACAAGTATGCTTTAACAGTGGCTTTTCCAGCTCCCACCGCCCCTCCCCCCCCNCCCCCCCCCCCCCCCCCCCCCCCCCCCCCACCTCCCTCTTCACTTGAGTGTCATGTGACCTCTTTCCAATACTCGCTCTTGTCTTTCCATGGATTCCACGCTTGTACTCCCACTTGACGTCAACGCATTATCCTCTCAAGTGCCATTCGCTTTCTAGTAAGTATGAAAGAAGAAAGCTTATAACGGGTTGTATGAATAATAGATGTATTGTATTGGCATGTTATTTTCCAATGTAATCTGAATTTCAAATTTCTTTTGTTTAGTCATTTGGCTGTGAAAAGTTAGAGAACAATCTTTTGATGTCCTCAACTTCAGTTTTGCCGTCTTTTGCGTTTTCATTTTGGCTCCGCAATTTAAAAACAGATTCGGAGTGTAGGTGTTCTATGAGATTAGCTAAGAAAAATACAATGCAACGATGTATTGAAAATCGATGTTATCATCCAACTATCTCTGCAAATTAATCCACACAGATTTCAAATCTATACATTTTATTCTATTCATTATAGTAGATTATTGGCGGACTTCAGTATTTTGATGCTGTTGACATGATGGTTTTTCGTTGAATAGAATAGTCACAGATTGTTCAAGTGTGCACTCTTAAAGTGTCCAATGGAGTAAGTGTTTTAATGAATAAAAAGCTGAAAAAATCATTCGTTTCAGGTGTTACATTAACATAGTGTTTCCAGTTTTTTTATTATCAAAGTTATCGGAGTGCGAGTATGTCCGCTTGGTGGTGGTATGAGTCTGAAATTTATCAAGCTCTCATCTTTTAACATTACTTACTTCATGAATTGATATTTTGGCTCGAGAGATTAGGCAGTGAGTTAGTATAGTGATGGGAGTAGATCCTCTCTTTGGTAATTAGCTACAATAATAATAGCGTCTCAATCAGATAATGAAGAGGATATTTCATTATTGGCTTGGTGTCTTTTATCCCGTGAAAGCCTACATTCAATGCTTTTATTTCTAAGGAATGTCTAAAAGAACATCTTTGGGAAAATTCAGTAGTTTACTACAAAGTACTTGTGTTTGTGGTTGTTTCTATCTAACGGAAATTCATTTTAATGTCAAACATTTGAAACCAATATCCTTATTGTGTCATATGCTGTGTGGAATGATATTTAAAATGGCGATATCTATAATTGTCCAAATTCGTAATTAATTTGAATGCTATAACAAGGAAGATGTTCAAAGGCACTTATAATGCTTACTACACTATCGATTAATTCGATTCAATTAGCAAGATTAACTAATTCAAGAAGGTTGTAGCTAATCGATACTAAGTCGTAACTGAGTTACTCCTATTTATTTAGGTTCGATCAAATTAGTTTACTACTACTACTGCTACTACACTTGCAATTTAGTGCAAATTATTTTCTCCGATTGACTGACCAACGTTCACATTTGGCCGCGACGTATTGACAGAAGAGGGAGAAGAGAGAGAGAGAGAGGAGTATAGGGGTATCATTTTATGATGTGTGGTTAGTACGTGGTCATAAAGTCAAGCCCTCTCTGCACACTGACCTCATCAGAACCTTTTAATATTACGCTTATAGCATTATAAGGGCAATTGCCGGTGGCTTGCGTTTTCATTACACCGCACTGACCTCTCCTCTGACTCTCCTTTACCCAAAAAATGTGGTGGAAGTAGTTGTTTGGCTAAGGAGGTACACCATAGTTTTCTCTCCCTCTCTCTCCTCTCTCTCTCTCTCTCTCGTGCTATTAACGTTGCAAATATGGTTGATCCTGCAACTTAGTTGAGGACTTCATTAATCCACAGACCTCTAGGCAATTTACTAGGTTTTTGGGTTTCAATTAATGTGAAGGCGCGTTTGCTCTAATACGTCTTCTAAATTTTGCCAAGTTGACAATAGTTCTCCTTTAACAGTTAAAAGCCGTCTTTACTTCTGAATCCAAAAAATAAAACAATTTTAGACCTGCGTTTTGGCATTTTTTGAATCTATGTAATTTTGAAAACTTGCTCCATTTCAGTAGGCGACTTTCCTTATCGGTATAATCCACATTTTTTTGTACAAACTTTTGATTGTGATTGGTTCTTCTTTGGCGTTAACAAAAATTTTGGCAAATCCTTCCAGCCCAAGTTCCTTCTTATTTCAATAATCGTCTTCTTACTACCTTCTATGCAGTAGATTAGTCCGCGCTCGAGGTTGTTTTAATTTCGCGGTTTGTGGATTTTTCCTCTGTCATTTACTTTAACGGTTATGGCAATTATATTGTTATTTTTTTTATTTCCATCATATAATTCGCATGCCCACAAAATTCACAGAGTCGTAGCTGTCATAAACGAGCAATGATTTGATGTCATGAAATTTATATTCCTCTATTTTTCTTCACTCGAATTTCCTGTTGTTGTTGTTATTATTATAACATTGTGGATATAATTGCGAAATTTCGATGGAGTTTATTGTTATTACTATTTGCCCAATTAGCGCCGTGGCCTTTTGAAAATCATTATTATTCAGATAAAGGGCATTTTACTTAATGGCATGAAATAGCATCTCCACCGAATTTCAAATGCGCCTTGGTTGCATCATTAGCATTGGAGAATTATAATTTGATTTACTGAATCTCCACCCCCCACCCCCCACTTCCTGATATTTCCACAACTACTTAATGCGATTTGGAAAAATTTCGAGTTGATGTTTTTTCGCTCATTTTCTTGGTTTTATTTCGAATAAGAAGGTTTTGTATCAAGGATACGGGTTGGGCAGCAAATTGTACTGCTTTCTGTCACTTATTTGGAACTACTCATAGACGCAGAAGGTTTCTGGCAGAACCTGTCTAATCTCAAGCATATTAGCTTTCCATTGTGTCAATTACAATTTGGTTAGATTGATAAACTATGCGTTGTCCTGGTACTAATGGCCCGGCCACCACACTTTTAACATAAGAAGCTATTGAGGGGAGAGCAGGTGAAGTTGGTAGATTTCGATCTTGAATGCTAATAGTTGCATACTCAGCTGCATCGGCAATTGGTACTCCTTAGCCTTCAAGTTGTCAGTGATATGGAGCTTAGCTCTGAAGGCAATTGATTAGCAAGTCTTTAGAATCTGTTTTTTAGGATTGGGAGCTCGCACACCTCTACATTTTTATATCGCGCTTTTCACCTAATCACCCGAAGTTAACAAAATCTTGACATTTCTGTAATGGTATTAAAATTTCCATTTTTTTCCAGGTTCTACTCTCATTTGCACATCTTATCCGTCCGATTTCTAAGTCTACTCGATTTCTTCCTTTTCAGCTTATGGTAGGGTTGTCTACGGCCTTTCTTAATGTTTCGTCGAAGCTATCAACACTTGGCTGTGTGTGTCTGGTCTCTATTTATTCTAGGTTGATTCATAAAGCATTTTATGCCTGCATTTATTGCAGCCTGTTAAAAGAGAAATCAAGTTTTCACAAAGTCATATCCTCGGCTTAAAATTCTGCGACTAAATGTAAGTATATGTCATAAAATGATATTCCATCGGACAAAAGATCAAAAGATATCTTGTTTGCATATGATGCTGATGGATTGGTAGGTGGAGCATAAATCAGCCGTTGCCACACAATGCCGATTGCACTACACACACGCGCGCGCGCGAAATACCAATTCATGCACTAGCATGTGCTCTTTGGCATGTGGTTGGCTTTATTGTTTCATCTTATTTCGATTGTTGAATTTTATGACTGAAATGGCATTTTATAACCCCCCCCCCCACCTCCTCTCCTACCTTTAACCATTCCGCCTTTGTTGTTGATATTGAACGTGCGAAAATTTTGCACCTTACTAGTGTAATAGCCAGATTCATCTGCCGATTCGTTCAGTGACCGTAATTTTGGAATGTCGACACGAAAAACAAGTCCTATCCAATAATTTTTGTTTAGTTCTATAAGCTGATGGCGTAGTTTGCCAAGCCAAGTGTTTTGTGACCGAAATCCACCGGTGGTCCAAATAGCTAATTAATAACCCTCCAAGGGGGATGGCAGGATTCGAGTTTCTTAGTTCAATATTTCGGCTAATCTTATCGCTTTGCTCTGTTGTCGATTATGAAGGTGTGAAAGGTTTGCACCTTTCCAATAAAATAATCGATTCCTTTGACTCTCGTTCAGCGATCTTATTCTTGCATTTTGGCATAGAAAATTAGTCCTCTTTCAAGAATGAGCTCTCCAACATGAGATTCAGTTTTTGAAAGAGGCAGCTTTGACATGCATGTTTGCTCAAATTCCAATCTAATGATTGATCAACTGTGTAATGCAAGATTCTTATTCAAAGCAAATTCGAATTTCTTGACCTATTCATGGTGGTCGATAGATGGCCTTTTTCAAGGAACTCGGAAATCATCTATATCCATATTTTAAAACTTCAAAATGAAGGCAAATCTTTTCCACGTCACTGTTGGTCTGTCCGTCTTTGGATCTTCCTCGAAAGTCACTGGTGTTATCCTTTCCACTATTTGATACTATTTTTTTTGTTAAGTTTAGGACTTGACATTTAGTTCCAATGTCTGTGTCAATTTAGTGTCCTTATATTGTTTGCTTTTTTTGATAATTGAAATTTACATTTGCACACTCATTTATGCAGCCATAAGGTCAAAGTTATGCGATAGTGCTAAAAGGGGAAATGAGCCTTTTAGAAATTCCCGTTTATGCTCGGAACACTGACTTCACTTCGTTGTAGTCGTTGGCTTTTGAGCGATTGTCTTGAATTTGCACTAAGTCTACATTTCCCAATTACATAGCCTTTTGCCTTTCCTCCGGATACATTTTTATTCCTCAACTCTTGAAAACGGGGTGTCTTTATATCTACTGTGGTTCTATTATCAACCCAAATTCCCTTGGAATATTAAGTGCATTGACGATTGCGAAACTGGTAGCCCAAGGTCTTTCTTAAGTTGTCATTTCTTATCGAATTGTGGGAAGAATTTTCAAATTTAAATTACTTCTTACAAATTCTTACTTTATTCGAAGATATCTATCTTAAATGTTTAATCTTTTTTATTTTACGGGGTTTTCAGCAAAAATATTACCGTATTTTTTTCTCGCATTATCTAATTGGTGTTTTCAATGATGCGCATCGTGTCAATTTTTTTGTCTTTTCACTTTAAAAATTAATTATTTTACAATAATTGTTTATAGTGGGCGTCGAGTTTTTTTTCACAAAGCTCTGTCGATTAGTTAATCCAGATCGGGTATAATTTATGAACGATTTTCATTTTTTTTTCAAAAAGGCGAGGTCTCCTATCTGTGATCATTACCATCAGCTTACCTCATAGATTGTTATCCGCTGGCATTTCGCTTGCGCATGATAAAATTCACTGCCATTTAGAATCCACCTCGGTTGTGCAAACGCCTCCTTTTGCCTTCTCCCACTTCAGTTTGAATTTCCTCCTGAATCCAAACTTGACATTTCATTCTTACCCTTTTCTCCCTATTATCGAGTTTGCTAAACCCTGGCCGTCATATTGATTGGCGCAATTTCTTCTGTCTTTGTTATCTACAAAAGAAGTGAATTCTTGTAGATTGGATTGAATTGGAAGTAACGCCTAGTGCGAAAACTGGGCATAGTATTTGGTCGGTCATTGAAATGCAACCCAAATTGTCAGTATTTTCTCTATCTTATCTTGCCCTGTAGAGAACAGAATTGCCTAAACAATTCCTGACACATTTGGTCTTCATGCTGAAGAATGTTGCCACCCGACTGGTTATCTTGACACCAGTTAAGGTCAATCCTGACAACCTCCTCGATTGCTTATTGGACGCCTCTCCTCCTGGACCATTCAAGGCTAATCAGCTGACTATCGCCAGTTCAAAGTACGTAACCTTTGTTTTTTACTTGCCCATATGAAGTTACATCGCTTCTCTTAAGACACCACGTAGCCACTCATATAAGCCGAGTTATTCATTGAAGGACGCCATGTCTTCACTTGTTTAGACCCAGAATGCTGAAACGCAAATGTATGTTTCTATTTGTAGGAGTTTAATTTGGTTTGGTTTGTTTATCTAGTTATTCAGTAACGTAATAATGAGGAGGAACCGTAATTTACAGAATGTTAGATTTATAAATTTTGCCTTAAAATGCAGCTTCTAAATTTTGTCACTCGATGTTTGTTTTCCCATGACTCTTTCAAAGACACCTTGATGATTAGAAATTAGCCATCCCCAGCATATTGGCATGAATAGGACCTCCAGATGGTGTTAAAGACCAAAATGAATATCAAATTCAAAAAAGAGTGTTGGTGACCTATTGATCAAAGTCCAAATCTGTTAGGACAGGTGTCACTGGATAGGTGCTCATTGGTATGCATCCAGCAATGTGGGTGATTTCTCCATTGGTTACTTCTGATCCTTAGGTGGTTGCATTGAATATGAGATTCTACCAAAGTGGTTACAGAATATCTTTCCTCTGCCTACTTCAAGCCTTGTTCAAATCCCATTACATTTACTTTGTGCAGCTTCAATATATTGAATGAGCCTTCAAAAAAACCTCTATTAGCTTAATGTGACTGTCAGACGGCACCCCTCTCTTTTGTTCTCCTTTACTTACTTCCTATTGTACCAACTCTTTCTCTCTCTTTCTCTCCCTCTCTCTCTCTCTCCCTACACCCAAAACTGTATCAGTTCATGGTACCTCACCCTTTTGTTTTAGACAGTGGATTTGGTTCTCCCTCCATGCTATGTGTGGGAGGGAGAGGGGGGGAGAGAGTTGCATGTTGGCAAAGTGCATGTCTGAATAACTACCAGACGGCACTTAGTGCACACACACACACACACATCTCCTAATTAGAATAACCAGCAATGCCGGTCGGTAATTATTGTTGCCGAAAGGACTGCCGAATGAGATTTTCATGGCCATAGTCGTTCCATGTTTGTATCCTTAGGGGGGGTGGGGGAAGGCCTTTAATATGAATTTCTGTTGATTTATCATGGTAGTTTCCATTATCAATATCCTTGGTACCATTAAAGGTGGATCGATTCCCAAAGCGGAATATGACTATAGCATTCATTTGGGCATCATTTTAGTCTCTAAAGGACTCTAGAGCCTTATACGATTTCATAGGTCAGTGTACTTGCTGCACAAGGAAAGAGTGGATAATAAGCCCATTTGAGCAAAAGCCTCATAGAATCATATGGAATTAAAAAGGAAACTCCACTCAGACGGAAACTTTGATGGCCTGGTCCATCAGTGTTCATCCAGAGATTAAAACATCCACTCGGAATGCCTATTACCATTCCTTTTACTAGGACCAAATTTGAGCTTAATTCGCTGTTTGTAACCAATTGCTTTACATCTCTCCCAATTAAATTTGTGAAAAGATTGCAAAGAGGAGGAAACTTAACGGCTTTCATGCCCTCTTCCTGCAGTGCATGCATTACCAGTTACCGGAATATCTACAATTGGCCTGTTGCTTATTGGCCACATGCTTTCGAGCACCTGCTTGTCAAAATCGCATGTGCATAAGCATTTACAGACTTTGGCAATAGCCTTACTCATTCTCTCAAAATAATCTGCTCGCTACTGCAGGGTTTGCACATGTTGTAGTACTGACGCTGTCACTGGTCATTCCTGTGCTTGCTCTTTTTAGAAAGAACACCTGACTTGCTCCATCTATTCAACCACTAACCCACTCCCCTCCCCCCCCCCCACGCCGCCACCCCCCTCCCTTCGTCCAGGCCTCATCGATGGGCCCTGGATGAGCATTTCTGTCAATTTTACTGCTTCAAGCGTGTTCTCCGACAATTGAAACACTTTGAGTCAGTCGGCAGACCGCTATCATTTTTCTTTCAGAGGAGAATGATTGATGATCTGCTCTTATTATTAGTAGGATGGGGAATTCGTTAATTTTATGCAGGACATATCAGGTAAAATATGAGCATACTTGTATTCTAGCTGCTGGAATGCTTAGTTAATGATTAATTAAGAAGTGGGGGGTGGGGGTGGTGAGTTCCCTTATTATTTTTATTGGTGTTGGAAACTGTAGGGAATACAATCGAGTAGTAGAGACCTTCATTACTCATCTGAATGTATTCAATCGAGGGTGGGGAGAGGTCCTAAGGTGGTGTTTCTTTTAATTATCTAACTATCAGCTTACGACTCCTTATGCTTTGCCACTAATTGGCTTATGACTTATTGATTGTAATCCTCTTAAGACTCAATCCTGCTTTCACTGGTCTTTCGGCTTTTGTTGATTCGCGTTATTTCTTAATTGGGAATTAAGTCTCTTCTTCCCTCACCACTTAGATCGGCATCTCTCTTTCCCAACCCAAGGGTTTTATGATTTAAAATAAAGGAGGAACTGACGAACATCTTTTAATTGTCTTCTACCTCACTTTCTTTCCGCCTCATTTCCTGTTGTAGGAAATGTTTGTCTACGATGCCAATTGGTTGTTGACTGGTCCTTTTTTTGTTAAGATGAGTCAGTTTGTCTCTTCAGTTCATTTCCCCCCCCCCCCCCCCCCCCACCCTGTGGTTGAGTTTGATGGCTGAGATGAGATAACTAAATCAATTAAGCTAATAAATCCTAGTAGTTTGTGCTGCTTTCTACTTAGTTAACTATTGGCTAGTATTTATTTTAAATGAGTGAATCATATAGTTAACAGGGGGTTCATGACGCTCGTATCTCTTCCACTCGTTTTCCTTCCCCTGCGGAGACAAAAAAGTATCAAAAAAAGAGATCTAGTACATTTTGATACAATTTCCACTCAGGGGGAATGCTAATTTAAGAGGGTATTTAATTTAGTGACAAAATTAGTCGTTGGGGCGTTGTCTGAGAGGGAGGGAGGGAAATTCGTAAGAGCTGACATAGGGATATGTCGATCGATAGTGTGTGTGACAACTTATAACGCTTTTTTACGCTTGGCAATTTTTATTTCAAATAGCCACAGGGGTGTTAAACCTAAAAGTAGTTCATTTTCACGTTCGTTTTTTTACATGAAAGTGGCTTTTTATTAATCAGCAGCTTTAAATCGGTTGAAACCTTTCAAATCCTTCTCTACATGCTAAAATGACAGATCTATGCTCGCAACTCAAAAACCTTCTCTGTCATGCAAATTTACTATAACAATAATCGTAGAAAATGGTTTTTTTCTGTCCCACTTACTTAGATTAGCTTTTTGAAAAGAACTAAATATTGTGGTTGCGACTTTGAATAATTGCAGAGGCCATGAATGACTGTAATAAATTGCTCTATTTCTAATTGCCTATCTTCCCGCAAATTAGGCAATGGGTCATCAAATGTCGTTGCTAATTGTTTTAGGCCTTTCAATCTCTTGTCAAATGGACTATCACTGCTATAAGTGGGCTTTTAATCTTTTTTCATGAGTCCACATTATTCTCTTCTCTCCATTTATTCAGATAGTGTCTCTATTTCTCCCTTATCCAATTATTGTTTATGTTTTTTAATCTATTTATCCATAATTGTAACGCAGTAATTAATTAGTGTGTGTGTGCGTGAATGTCATTAGATAAGATTGTCCATTTCATTGCAATAGAGGAGGTTAAAATTCCCATCAAGGAAAGATGTACAACTGGCCAATATGACCTTTTGGTGGGGGGGGGGGGGGGGGGTATGGAGAAACTACAGTCGTAGCCAACTCTTATGGAATACTGGGCCATTAATGAGGGTGGAAGAAATCGGTCCTCTAGTAGCTCACAGGCTAGTGGTGTACAGTAGAGTATGTTTGAGTGCCTGATGAGTTAGTAATGTTGAATTCAGTTTCTATAGTTCACGAAAACTTTTTTAGCGGATATATCGTGTTAGGCTATTCGCCATGTTGCTTAATGCGGAATAATAATTGCCCTCCGCGCCTTGGTAATTGAGGGCAAGTTGTTCGGCCATGGGGGGGGGGGGGGGCATTTGCTTTTGCCTGTTGATTCATCCACTGCTCGTTTTGTCATCATCTTCCGTTCTCGGCGCTCTCTCATTATTCACTCGGTCGTTTCCGCTAACACTTGCCTGGGCAGTAATCGGCAGCAGACGATGTCTTGGTCAATGTGCGCGAGTGTGTGTGTGTGTGTGCATGTGTGTCTAGACTTTAGTATGTGTATGTCTAGGTTTGGTCAATTTTATGCCTTTGTTTCGCCGTCGTCTTCGTTCGTCTCTTTCACTAACCTAACGCCATCGTGCTAATTATTGAAGCAAGCAGACTGCATGCATACAAAACAGCGAAAGAGCGGAGGTTGGTTGGTTAGGTGGATGAGTGGAGAGAATGCGAAAATATGCGCATGTGTAGTGGATGCGCCGATGAGTGGATTCGGGTGTGTTCTTTTAACCGTCTCTATGTGCCCATTCATATGAGTCATTTTTACCACCCTCCTCCCAGTCTTGTCATCATGACAACAACCAGACTCAGAGTTATAGTTGTCGTCTTTCATTGATCTACTAGAGTGCAAGTCGTGGAGTGATAATATGTTTGAAAAGTTATAATTAGTGATCTTTTGATGCTTATTCTAGTGGAAATTAACATTTTCTCTAATTGGATGATCAGATTAATTTCCCAGATCGTAGCTATTCCCTAATTGACGGGTATTTTAAACTAGATTTTAGGATCCAGATGATTAGAAGATCATAACTGGGCTGCCACTCACTAGGACCTTATTTATTTCTATTTATCCCCTATTCATCAACTGTTTCATATGCTCGAAGATTATCTGTCAACCGTAGATGCGCATTGACTAGCTAGTGCTAAAGTCTAATAGCCTTCTGTAGCAGTTAATGATATTCTCTTTAGCATTACTTGCTTATAGGGATGTTTCGATTTGGTTTTTCGCTCGTACTTCAGGGAAGATCTACTTTTTACTGCCTTTTTCACTCGCAAGGAAAGATAATTCATTTGCCATTGTACACAGCTGTGGGCCATTTGGTTTATTTAATTATCCATCGATCCAGTCTGTACCTGTCCTTATTTTGTAGTAAGGTGTGACGCGGCTTGAGGCTGGCTTCAAGACTAGGCCGTTTAAATCCCTCCTGTATGCACCTCTTTGAATTACTACCAGCACAGCTCATAACTATTTGCTGTGCTGTCTTCAAATAGTTGTATCTTTATTCTCTCTTTTAACTAATAGGATGTCCTATTGGCTTCTTTGAGCACACCGTACTGCTTTCCATTCCACACATAATTGTCCCTCGCTTCCTTTGGCGTGTTCACTAACTGCGCATACAGTCTTGCACAGTCTGGGTCTTCACAGATGACTTCCCTTCTGTCTTGACCTTTTCAAAATTTGATTGATGAGATTCATTCCTTTAAAAATGAGGCAGTTTGCCACCCTCCTCGCCCCTTGTTTTCAACTTCCTGTCTGTCTTTTAGGATTCAAGAGAGAATTCGCAAGTTTATCCAGAAGTACAAAAGCCACTACAAGTGCTTCCCAATTACATGCAAGTTCAACGTGTTTCACAAGTTTTAAACTTCTCTAAGCATTGCTAGTCAAGTCAATGGACATAAATCACCCGACGCATAAATCTTAACGGCCTTTTTGCTTCTCACTTTTTTTGGTAGGTAGCCTGCCTTGCTGGTGTTCAGATGGAGCAAGTCTGAAGAGAGGAAAAGGAGGACGGATGTCGCTGTAAACTAATGTTCTTTGTTTTTGGTACCTTTGGTGGATATTATTCCGGTTTTAAAAAGAGAATAATATTTTAATACTTATCTTGACCCGTTCTTATTGGCTGTGGTGGGATATTTTGTGATTGATAATAAAGATTGACTCTGTTGGTGGTAATGGTGTGCTTGCTAGTCATCAATCTACGTTTTTACGTTTTGTTTCCATCACGTGAAGGGTAGGTAAGTAACTTAGTGACGGAATATGGACTTTTAGTTGGCGTTTCGCTCAAAGTTATTGATGTATTAAAGGAGAAAATGAACTACATGCATCTTTGACAGTATAAATTGGGGTTTTTCTATCTTTGTCGCAACCTGAATGAATTAGGGTGGATTAGTTAGGTAAGTTAGGACGTGTTGTGGTAGCGCTTTGGTTAGGAAAAAGGGATTCCTTGTTCGTTTGCCGGGTGTGCTATATACAGTCTGGACAGATTTTTCGAATTTCGTTTATAAGGTGATGAATAATGTTGTATCGATTTCTCAACAGGGTGATCTTACGATGCTTCCCCCCCCCCCCTACTCATTCCTGAATAGGCCCGAGAACTAGGTGATTATACAAGAAGATCATTTAGAATTCCAATCGAAATGCACATTAGCTTCAGTGTAAAATAGGATTGTATCAACTGCAGAGGACCACCAATAAGCTTCCTCTCATCTTGACATCTATTACTACTTATTCTTCTTTGTCTATAAAAGTCGCTCTATTTGTAGGTGTGAGATGGCATTGAAGATTGGTTCAAAGACTCGTTAAAACTGTCAAGAGCCAAAATAACGTTTACACTTTTGTTTAATGACAAATGCATTGTTTTAGAAGTCAATGGCTTCGCATGATGAATCGCTAGCCTACAAACTTTCAGCTTAGTACTTGTCCATCGAATGATTGTTAAAGCAATTAGCGGGAGAATATGATGAATTGGTAATATGGTAGTCGGTTTCTGACCCACTGTCCTACAAAGAATAATTGATGGGCAAATTTAAAAAAAAACGATAAGTTAAACACTAAAACAAAGATGATATTATTGCAGACTTCAAATGATGAATGAAGGGGAATAGTGCAGAGCAATTGTCCATTATTGTTTCACGCTGTTTTCAGTGAATGATAGTTTACGGTCTACGTTATTATTATTATTATTATATCAAATGGCAGGTTTTATGATATTTATCATTGGTCCCAAATTCACGTATGTAAAAGGGGCAGACACAA